CATTTTAAGAACTTCCAAGTCCTATAAAAATTACACAGATGTTATCTACTGTTTTAATATATCTGAAATCTAAATTACATACGTTCTATTGGCTGTGGTTTCGCTAGATAGTAGATAGGGACAGTGGGAATCTCATTAATCCATTCATGCGCGTCACTAATTAGATGACGAGGCATTTGGCTACCTTAAGAGAGTCATAGTTACATAGTTTGATGCTTGTTACGCTGCTTTCTTCTATTTCAATGCCGACGTTGGAACCACCAAATGACTGAACAGAGAGACAGCAAAGACCTGACCCCAGGAAAAGGTAAAAATGTTCATATTTTTACAGGTAAATATTGAAGGTGGTTTAAATACAAAAAAATATATACAACCTTAGCATTAAATTAAATTCTGATGTTATTGTAATAAATGAAACACTTCTAAGTAACTTTAGCCTCCTTAATTCTAAGACAATTTCAATACGCAAAGCGGAAGATACATGTGGCATAATGTTACTACATAAAAAAGATTTAAAAATATCCTTTCCTAATGTTAACATCAATAGTACTAATGAATATATATATTATGTTATATACACCCATCAAATCATGCAGTATATGTCTCACCTTCTAAATAACCTGACAACTCTTTATTGCAAAATATTATAGACAAAAATACTCACATGATAATCCTAGGAGACCTTAACTCCAGACATAAAGACTTCAATTGCCACACAAATAACACAAACAGAAACATCCAACATACCCTAGTTGAAAATAATAGTCTAATGGTAATTAATGATGCAAATGCAACAAACACTTTTCATAATGGCTCGCAAGATATATTAGATCTCGCAATAATCACGTGCACACTTATTCCACATGCATATAACTTCCAAGTACAAGAAAACATAGGTAGTGACTATGACCCTATATCCTTTGACTTAAATATTAACCCAAACAAAATTAACTCAACATCTCTTCCGAAAGTATATGATTACACTAAAGCTGATTGGATCATCTTAAACCAGAACATAGAATTCCTGCTTCCTAGCCTTAAAAACTCAGCTACAGAAATAGATAGTTACGCATCTGACATCACATATGCATTATCACAGGCACTGTAAAACACTGTACCAACATGTAAAAGAGTAATAATCGCTGGAAGCTTACTCCACAAATACATAAACTAATCTTGAAAAGAAGGCACGTAAGCCTGGAAATAAAAAAAATCATAAAGGATCAACAGAACAAAAATTGGCAACAGTTCTGTGAATCAATCGACAATAACAAGCAAACCTTATCCTTTTCTGGCAGAAATTCAACTAAACTTGCAATGAATCTGCCTCCAGAATCCATCATACCATTAAATATAATAATAACACTGCATTAACAGACAAAGAAAAAAGCAATCTGTTTAGTGATTACTGCAAAACTGTTTTTACTACACCAAATACAGCCACCTTCAACAAAGAACACAACCTCAAAGTCAATGCTCATATCAAAGATAACAACTATACATTTAAACCCAAATTTCCTGTTATTCTAGACCCTAACAACACATCTAAAGATGTCAGTATTACCAGACTGATATCATTAGCCAAAATTAAGTCACTATTAAAAAGTTCAAAAACTCATCCCCCGGCAAAGACGGAATAAGGAATTTAGTATGAAAGAACGCATCTAAATTACAACTTAAACACCTTTGTACCTTGTACAATCTACGGTTAAGTACAAGATACTTTCCTACTTCCTGGAAATCAGCAATTATAAGTATCATCTCCAAAAAAGGCAGGAATCTTAGTAACCCAGCAAATTACAGGCCATTAAGTCTTTTAAACTGTGTAGAGAAGTTATTAGAAAAGATAATCACAACCAGATTATTGTGTCATCTTGAATTAAACAAATTGTTAATGGATATACAAAATGTGTCTAGAAAAAATGTCAAACAGCTGACAACCTAGTCACACTAATGGAAGCTGTACACTGTGGCTTTAATAGGAATAATGCAACAACAGCCACTTTTCTCGATGTCAAAAAAATATCTGTGTTTGGAACAATGGCCTACGATACAAGCTCTCTCAACTCAAAATAACAATACCCCTTATATGACGGATTTCTAACAAGCAGAACAGCTAAAGTCAGAATCAACAATAAACTATTCAGAGCCTTTAACTTACAGGCAGGAGTAATGCAAGGCTCTGCTTTAAGCCCCTTACTTTACATAATCTTTGTAAATGATATAAACTTCCCCGATCTCACTCAAACCTTTGCATTGCTATATGCTAACAACATGGCCATATGGAGCACGTCATAGACCTCACACAGCAGTCAAGAGAGTTCAACTTTTAACTAGACCACATAAACAAGTGGTGCAACACTTGGCAAGTAATACTTAATACAAGCCATACCATTCAGCAAGGTCCTTAAAGGAAACAGGAAAAAGTAAACCAAGTCAAGTTCACTCTTTATGATATGCAAATCAAATTTACCAATTCAATAAAATTTTTAGGCATAACCTTTAACAACAGACTTACATAGAACACTCACATTTGTGAATTTTTTAAGAAAACAAGATAAGAAATAAATTAACTAAAGAAAATAGGTGTCTAGGTCAAAGGTTGTGATGACTAAACCCTTTTACTAATCTATAAAATGTACATCTGACCAGTTACAGAATATTGAAATGCCATTACATGCAACATGTCTAACAACTTGTATAAATCACTAGAAGTACTGAAGCTAAAAGCTATCAGAATTGCATAATGTCTCTCTGTTTACACGCCAGGAACAAATCTTCACAACACTAGTAAAATGAAAATGCCCGGAGAAAGATTCACCGATCTAGCCACCACATATTACAAAAAATCACAATTCCCTTTTTTAGCAAAATTTTGAACTTAGCTGAAACACCTGAAATGTGGAACAAACACATGTCCCCCTACAACACAATAAAAGCACTTAACAACACATACCAACCACCATGAGCATTTACTCCCCCCCCTTTATGTTTCCAACCATGCATGGAGAAGGATTATATGTTTAACTCTTTGATATATTGTGTTCAAACTGTATTCAAATTGCTTTAATTTTAGTTGTTGTAATTCTTTAATTAGCTGGATATTGTTCTGTTTAACTTGTCATAATCTGTATTTGTAATGTTTATCTGTTCACTTGCAATTCTGTTTGTCAACTATGTATAGTTATGTAACTGTCTAATTGTAGTTGATAAAAGTTTCTGCCTTGGCCCTTTTTTGGGCAGAGTGTGAGGCCCTCCTAGTGGGTTGGATGTATCTGCTGCGTGTATCAGCCAAATTATAGTGTGCTCTACAGGTCGCTTCGCGTCTTGAAGCCGACAAGTAAACTACTGAACAAACTTTTCCAGTCTAGTCTCCATAGCTTTTCTGGTTCCGCTTGTGATGGCAATTCAGAAAAATCTATTCCCAGACACCTTAAGAATAACTCTGATTAAATCCAATACTGACATAAAATCAATCAATCAAGAATGGAGCAAAGAGAAATCTACATCTTTGACAACCACTGGTTCTAAACCAAAATACTTATCATGACAACAATGCCTATTTTGTAATTTTTCACAAAGTAAATTAGAATTGTCAAAAGTTATATTGCTGTAAACTGCTTAACAATATTCAGGCAACAGGCATACTGGATGACATGCCTGGTCAAAAGAGAATTGGGAAACTGATTACTGCTACCTTATACTGCATCTGTGAATTGGAAAACCTAACTTGTTCTGTGGAAATGGACCCCTCGATTGTAATTAATGTAATCTGAATCACAATTCATGTTGTTAACTAGAGTATACACCAATATACAGATAGAACAATGTATCGCCAGCACTAGGGATAAAAGTCAAATGCTTCTATTATTTCAGCTGATTACTAACATCTATAATTCTGCTATAGTAGTGCCAGTTTTGATATCACAAGAAATATCATGAAAAACCAAATATAACAAGGATTATTCACACATGATTTATCACAATCCAAAAAACGTTTTGTGATATTTAAAAGCACAATTTCTTTATTGAGAACTTGGAAGACAGGTGTATACCCAAAGGTATGGTCGTATATGCAAAATCAACTATATACACATATAAGACGTTTCAAGTAGTTTCTCACATAAATATCTGCCATTGTTAATCACAAAGCTCAAACTAAGTGCTCATATAAAAAAGGATTGCAAAGTCCTCTTAGTGGTTGGAGATGGCTTGAATGGGTAATGAAGAAAAACTTTAATATAAGTTTAACATAACAGCAAATGTACAATGTTTCGACAAGGTTTTGTCATCATCAGGTACGTGATGACATGGTCTTGGACCTGTCTGGAATGGGTTAAAATGCTATGTCACATTAGGCCTTAGTGTCAGTGTAGTTGTTAGTGTAGTTAATATATGCAAAACAATAAATGTTTTTTAAACATTACTTTGACTTAGCTTTTCTGCTTTCTTAATCATATATTCACTTATCCCCCCACCCCCAAAATTTCTTAACCAGGTCCTGGATTTATTTAGATGTGAACAGAGATTTCGGAAGACAGTAAAACGTTGGTATGTAAAGCTACATTAAAATTATCAGACATGAAAGATTTAGTCAAAAGGTTACTAGTATCATCAGAAATAATATATCAAAAAAATTTTCAGTGCTCACCTTATACAGGTATAAAGTAGTTTATACTCAGTTTTGTACAAATGCAAAATACTATTTTAAGTATGGGATCTAAATTATGCAATAAAACATATGAGAGATATTTAGTACTGTGTATGATAAATTACTAGTTTCAATGTATAAATAAAATATTAAGAAACACACAATCTGTTTCTTTAGTTTAAACATTACTATGTCATTTATATCATTACACATAAAAAGATAAATTCAATTGGGAATGAAGCTAAAAGCAGTCTTTTTCTCATAACAGCTTCAACAACAAATACTTTGTTCATTTAAATTTTGGTCAAATTGTACACTTAGAGTTTTTCATTTGAAAAATGTTGCTTACCACTGGCTCTTTCCCCATCATATATTCAAAGAGAATATTTCTTAAGTACTGAAAAGAAAGGAAATACAAATAAATCTAAATAATTATTAAACATTCATGCTACATACAGTTTGATATGATGATCTAAAAATTACAAAAAACAAAAATGTATCGCACTATATAACATATTTGTTTGTTTCTTAATCAATTTTGCAATTCCAGCATTATCAGAAAAACTAGGAAAAAATTCATTACTTTCTCAAGATATTAATTTTATTTTCCAGCCTCATCTCTATAAAATTATAATCTGTCTTATCTGCATTACTGTATGCACAAAATTACATTATACTCATTGTAAGACAATTATGATTACTGAGTTAATTGAATTTTAAAACCGATCTGATAATCACTTTTGTTGAAAATTAAGTTACAAAGTATAACAGTTTCAGAGAAGTGAAAAGCAGCAGAAATTTTAAACAGAACTATCATATACCCTAAGAACAATTTCATGATAAACTAACACCCAACAAAGTGAATTATGACATAATCAATTAATATGAAAAGTAAACATAATATACAGATAAAAGTGTTAAGTTTGTAGGTTTACCCAATTGAATTTGGCCCTATCAAAGCAATGCAACAATCAAAATTTTCTAAGAGCTGGTGGCCACCAGGTTTGAGGCATATTAAGATGTAAAGGCCTTAAACATCACCCATTTAAGAAAACAGAAAAAAAAAGGCTCAAATTAATTTCACCTCAGTGAATCTTTACTATTCATCTTGAGCAAGTTCTTCTTCTTTATACATGTCTAGTGTCGATTTTAGCAGCAAATAGTCTACACTAGTTTGATCTTTCAAAAAGTTTAACCTTACAGATCACTTTGATCTTTATGTGCAGCTGGAGGTGTAATAAGATTATTCTGAGTCCCATTAAAACACTGGCTTTCAAGCCATTATGGACTTCAGGCCAAAGTGCTCAAGAACTTTACTTGAATCAAGTTTTACAATAATAAACAAAAAATAGCATGATCTTTGTATGCATTAATCTTGAATTGTGTGTTTAATATGACTCTGATGATATAAAAGAAGGAATATTAGAGTTCTGACTTCTGTATTGCTTTGGGCATTCATCTTGATTTTTATAAAGTACAACAGGTCCTAACGAGAAGTTCACGTAGCCTAATCTTACTTTAATACAAAAACTCCATATTTTTTTAACATTCAGTATTTAACTGAGTATCAGAAAAAATATAAACCATTACTCTCCGAAAAATATTTTTTACACTGAGAAATTTCTTAACTCTCATATAAAAAGTTTGAGTAGGTATCTAAGCTGTAATTGTGGATGTAATCCAACTATAGTTTTAACGTACATATGGCTGCAACTTCATGTATAGGGATAAAATTAAAGATTATTGAACAGAGTACACCCACAAAATTAGTTGTATGAGTAAATAAATTTGTTTAACCCTTTCGCCCCAAGTAGGTTAAAGTGAACATGTCACGATGTTTTGGAGGATTATTTTCAAAATTTTATTAAATAACATTTTTATTACTTTCATCAATGAAATTGGCATTAAAATGTACTTTATAATTTAAATTTTGATGTTATATATGTTTTAATTTCTTAATTTAAAAGGAAATGTAAAGAAAAAAATGTTAAATATCAATTTTATGTGTCACATAACATGTCCAGTTGTCTTATTGTTCAGTTGCCATTTTATTATGCCCACCATACAACATTTATTAGTAGCTAACGAATTAGAAACTCAAATTTGAAATATAGACAAGCTAAATATAAAATAAGAACCTCCCTCCTCTATGATTTGCTTAGATAGCAATATTTTTAGCGAGTCTACTAGAGTGGCTCCTCCCACTGCATCAATCTTTTGAAAGCTCTTATCTAGTCCCACCTACTACTAATTAGCTACTGCTTATAACCAATAAAAAGAACATTTTCACCCCTACATAACTTTGATAGTTGTTTATAAATAGCTTGAAGGAGAAAATAATAATTTTGCCAAAACCATTTAGTCATTGCTCTGAACAGGAATGTGATTTTTTTAAACCCACATATAGTTTATTTAGAGACCCAACTAAATTACAGGAGTTTTGAGTGTATTAGTACAGTAATTTGATAACTTTTTGGTCTTCCAAAATTCATATTTGAAGCCTAAAAAAATTAGTATCTCTACTCCCTCCACCCAGAAGAATAAACGAGGCTTATAATGGTTGGAGACGGCTGAATGGGTAATGAAGAAAAACTTTAATATAAGTTTAACATAACAGCAAATGTACAACGTTTCGACAAGGTTTTGTTATCATCAGGTACCCATTTTCCTTCAATATTTTAAAATTATTTTGTACTCTAGGAGTCCAAGATCCTAAAATTTCAAATTTCTTCAAACTTTGGAAGGCATTCAAAATCAAGTAACGTAAGTACACAGTGCAATTGAAAATTACTATAGAGATGAAAATGATGAATACCTGGCTTCAGCTAAAGAAGTATACGATTTTTCAGCTCTCAACAGAACTTGTTATTCTTTTAAACCCTTCCAAACTGATAACATATTATTTTAACAGACAAAATTTATTATGATAGTTTTAGATAATAGTTGAAATCATAAACTGAAGACTATAGATAAAGAATAGAAAACCAAACAGATTAATGAAGACAACAAATGTATAATGAGCCATTTAATACCCTATCATAAAGTTAATGTTTTGATGAATAATACTTTGATATGTTGCTGCTTAACCAGTAAACAGTTATACTTGAAGAAGGAATTAGTTATTCTATTTCCTTCATTGGCTTTAATAACTCATTACATTTTGTACAGGTGTATGTGTTACAATGCTAGATATCATTTTCTTCTGGAGCAGGACATTTTGCAAGGCTCTCATATGAAAATCAATTTCAGGCTTTCAGTATGATCTTGCATCACTTTTATACATTCTTTTGGCTTACATAAACTGACTTTTATGACACAGTCACAGTTTATGTTTCTTTTTTTGCAATTTTTTAATATAAAATTTACACCAAAAATGAAGATAAGATGTCCTCCAAGCTCCCCCCAACTAATGGGCTGGATCTGTCATTTAATTTGATGATTTCACAATAAATATTTTTGCTTTTTGAAATGATATCTTAATGTACATAGAACCTACCCTAACTTTGTTTTATTACGCATATAAAAATCATTAGTTTGATATCTAATGTTCTTCTTGTGTTTATGAATGTACATGTAAAGATTGTGAGTGTTGTAAAACATTGCAATCCTTTGCTGAAATTAGTTTAACTTTTTCTGTATTGTACCTTTATTAAATTATGGCAATCATATTTATGTCTGCTTTAAATGTGCCATTTTGTTAAAGTGGTAAAATAATTATTGAATATTAGAGAACTAAATTTGGTTTATATTTGAAAATTCTTCACTCTTTACAATGAACACTAATAATAAACTATCAAACAAGAACAATAATACTTTTCAATAGTAAGATGAAACGTTAAGCAAATTTTTAAAAAAATTCACTTTTAGTACAAAAATTATATTTTGTTATATAATTAACTGGATATAAATGCCATGCTTGATAAAAATATATACAAAGTAATAAAACAATTAAAATCATAATACATCTAATAAAAATGAAAACAATTCATTTGGTTAATGTTAGTTATTCACTCTTTGAGATTATCTGATAATGAGAAATAGTCACTTTTTATTTCATGAAGTCCTGCAATGAGCCAATTTTTTAAAAACAACTATGATAATAAATTATTTTCATTAATTCCTGGTTAATAACATAAGATATACCTCCTATGTATATGTAGAATGTTGACAAATACTATTTAGAAGACAACAGCTTCTCCCCCCTGCCTGTTGGCTCAGCAGTAAAGTTAAAATATTACATCACCAAAATGCAGATTCATTTCCAGAGAGCCCATTGTTTAACTTTATGCTTAACAACAATCAAATAAGATGACAACAACAAAGCTAGCCACATATACATGTACATTGGTTATAAGTTAGCCGAAATGTGAGTGTATGCTCTTTATTACTGAAGGATATCACAGAACTCAAAGCATTGTTCTTTGTGGGTGTGCAAATCCATGTGCACTTGAAGCTTTGCACTCACAATAGAATCAATAAGTGCCTCAGTGCATGATTGGGTGTTTCAACATGCAGACTGCATACACTTCCATGATGCTACTTCTTATCTATATTTTAACACCTATCTCTTAGGTCCCAATCATTATTACCAATAATGACACAGCTAAAAATAATAATTAATGCCAGTTTTAAACAATTCAGTAACCATTCTAAACAAAATTCCTAAAATAAACCATTTTGTGTTATCATTCCTGTTTCGAGAAAATAATAATTCTGTTAAAGAAAAGTAAGAATTTCATTTCAATTTTTATGCAAGAGTCAGAACATTATATTCCCAAGAAATATTTAAAAACCAAGAAGATTAGCCTCATGGCATTTTTACTGTATGATGGCATGATAAAAACATGTACATGCTGCAAGATAATTCTTATTTAAAGTTCTTAATACTGAATGTTCATAATAATAATAGCCATTAAAATCACTGTAAAAAAAAAAGTTTGTATTTACTTACATTTTTATTTCTTTAAAAAAAAAAAAGAGCATCATGTAATCCTCCTTGTTACTTCAGAAAATGAAGGAAATCATATTTCACTCTTGTGTTATGAAAACTTTACAGTAAAATGTCTTTAAAATCAGTTTGTCTACTGTTACTACAGAAATTAAAAAAAAAGAAAAAAAGTGACAATAACAATTTTGAACAATGATGTAAATTACCCAGAGCATATTGCACTGATTACAATGAGAACAATACCTCAATGGTCACTTTACACAAAATCTTCTAAACAAACTCTTGCATGCATGCATGGCATTAGACTCAGTTAAAAATATTTAACTCTGTCCTCTTCTCCTAAAATTATAAGTTCTTTGTTCTTTTATTCTAGTGTAATATTATTCATACCTCATATTCTGTAGGTTCAGGTAGATTTAATGAAGTCTGAGATATGTTGTTTCCAGTTGATGAGGAAGGTCTATATGTCATCAGCTGACTCAGTTCAACAACTTTATTCCTTAATGAAATGAGTATGAAACTGAATGTCAATAATTCATAAAAAAAATGTCAACATTTAGAATAACATTTTTCAGCACTTTCACACATTGTATACAAATGTCTTCACATCTATTGTTTTTCATAGTTTTTGAAAAATAGTACATGTAATCTTTTGTTTTTTGCAATAACTATATTAGATAATATTCTACCTCAATAATTCATGACCTTGGAACATCACATATGTGCTTAACATGTATGCATTTTCCACTTAGAACTCACATAGGAGAGAAGATTGTTGTGTAACCATATCAGTGAAAGATAGTGAAATGCTTAGCTTACATATAACAGATGTTGCTATGCACATGAATACAATTACACATTATAATTAACAGTATCACATGCCTGCAATGGTTTTAGTGTCTTGAAATTCTTACATGTTCTACAGTAATTCCTGTATGCTGAATCTGAAAATGATATCCATTTTTCTCCATCACATACAGATTTTTCACAAAACGTCACATGTACTTTTACATAAGTGAATCATTTTCAGCAAAATTGAGTCACATTTTGTTATGCTTAAAATGTTGAAACCACTGGCTATAGATTTCTCTAGACCAACTGCAACGTGACAGTCTTATTGAACAAAAATATAAAATAGAAATTTCTTATCCGAACTTTCAATCTGCTATAATACCTGTTGCTCATGGACCTGATGTACCTGTACCTACTCCACAGGAAACTCTTGATACAGTTTCATCTGACTCTGAATCTGATGTCAATAGAAATGATGATAGGGATTGTTTTGAACCTGAAATGTCTGGAAAGGTTTCAACAAAACAACAGGGAAATGGAGAGGAGTTATAAGGAAAGGTTGAACATCAGCAGATGCAATAAATAAAAGAAAGACTACAACACGTAGTTTTGAGACTAAAGGACATAGATTTCAC